GGGGGGGGCACTGGTTGGTGGGCCTGATGGATAGCCCTTCATCAGAACTAAACAACATTTTGCATGTCCAGACACCCTGTCAAATATGGGGTCTATTGTAAAACCATTGGCTGGCGCAGTGTAGGTCAAACTCATCTACAGTCCTGCCAAATTTCATGTTGATCGGTGCAGCTGTTTTTGTGCTACGGTTGAGCAAAAATCACAGAAAAAAATGTAAATGGTACGAAAACATTATGACTCCCGCTTCGAGTGCGGAGGTCATAATTAGGAGTATCTATCGAAAATATGTATTTATACTGTATATTAAATACTTGATTTTTTTTCTAATAATGAATATATAGTGCAAATTATTTTAACTTAACATTAGTATCTCATAACAGTGATACAGTATCTTATAATTGTAACTTTAAAACTTATTGTGACTTTATTTATCATACAAATAACTTATTTGATGATTATGAATTTGTTTTAAAAATATACTTATCTCACAATTATGGCCAAGTATCTCATAAATATGAGTCTATTTATCACAATGATTTAGTACTTAATGATTATAACTATGTTAACTAATATTGACTTTGTGTCTAATTACAGACTTTTTATTTAATAAATATGACTTTGTATCTTATAACTGACTCTATATCTCATAATAACAATGATGAATTTCCTTATTATTATGACTTGAATATTAGAATGCCTGTGTCCAATAATCATGACTTTATAACTAAATATGACTTTTTAATACTTAATATTGACTTTGTGTTCTACAAATATGATTTTAAAACCCATACTAATGGCTTTGTGTCCTGTAATTGAGGTTTTAACACTCCTGAAGAAGACATGGGTGTAATTATTATTTTCGTTCAAGTGGCAGTAATGGACTTCCATACACCACGCTGTCAAGCGCTCCAGTAGCTTTTGATACAGCTCCGCCTTCATGGCCGAGTTTAACCGACTTGGATCTGAAATTGCGGGTTTAAGTCCGGGTGGGGGGTCACTCCAGACGTTTCAACACGTGTTCACACTCGGGGACAACTTCTTTCACAACATTTACGCAATATTTCGGCGATTACTGTCGATTTATCTAAATGGTGATTGGTGTGCGTAATCCTAAACTATTTCAGGAAGGACATGAGAGCCTCAAGAAAAACTGATCTTTTGATCCCGGAGACAACTTTTGATTTTACTTTTTGAACATTTCCCCCTGAAATCATGAGTTTGTAGGACTGTTTTTGTTTCTTGTGTTCCTGAGAAGAATTCCTCGGTGATCATGAGTTCCAGTTAGTTTCCAGTCAGTGACAGTAAAACTGAAAAGACATGAACGAGAAACCAACGCTGGACCAGGAGGACTTGGAGAACCACCACGACGTCAAGCTGGAGACGGGGGACGGGGAAGCGCTCCCCGGCGACCAGTTTCAGGAGGGCGGCCTCGGAGCTCCGCCGCCCACCCGTCTGTACCGGCGGCGCTGGCTGATCGTGCTCCTCTTCAGCTCCTACTCTCTGTGCAACTCGTACCAATGGATCCAGTACGGCATCATCAACAACATTTTCATGAAGTTCTACGACGTGGAGGCCTTCACCATAGACTGGATGTCCATGATCTATATGCTGACCTACATCCCGTTCATCTTCCCGGTGACCTGGCTGCTGGACAGGAAGGGGCTCCGGGTCGTGGCGCTCGTGGCCACGGCGCTCAACTGCGCCGGGACGTGGGTGAAGGTGGCCAGCGTCCGGCCCGACCTGTTCCCGGTCACCTTCCTGGGCCAGTTCTGCTGCTCGTTCGCGCAGGTCTTCATCCTGGGGATGCCGTCCAGGATCGCCTCGGTGTGGTTCGGTTCGGGGGAGGTGTCCACCGCCTGCTCCATCGGAGTCTTCGGGAATCAGGTGATGCGCACCGGTCTAATATAAGGAGGGTGGGTCTTAGAATCACCTGGATGGTTGCTGATTTAGTCTCAGAATGAACAGATGTGTAATAAATAATATTTTATTTTATTTATTGAAGTTACTTTGAGATGAACAATAAACGGCTCGAGGGCCAAAAGTGGCCGTTGAAAGACACCCATGGTCACCACTAATGCTTTCATATTTAAACTATTATTCTTTGACTGAACACATATTGTCTAACACAGTAGTTCCCAAACTTTTTATCGTCTGACCCACAAAATATCCATGGCAAAAACTTGTGACCACAATTATTACTGGTCTGAGTACACTAACTTTTTTAATAACCCTAAAACACAGCTTGTACACAAATATAAATACTTATTTAAACTTATTTTGTGTTTTTGTAATAGTTATAGTGAAAATATTACATCAGCAATTGTTTTATTACCCTTTAAATTGATTTCTGGAGATTATCCAAGGTGCTTCATGACCCATAATTGGGTCCCAAGCCCAACTTTGGGAACCAAAGTGCAGTGGTTCCCAAACTTTTCAGCTTTTGACCCACAAAATAACAGTAGCAGAGACCTGTGCCCCCAAGTATCAGGTCAACAAAACACAGGCATAGTAACAATATTTTTATACTACATTTATCCATTTTAAATACACTAACCTCACTCATTTGTAACAACTAAGGCAAACATGTAATTTATTCCGAAAATCTTTTCAGGACCCAACCTTGATGTTTCGGGACCCCACTTTGGGTCCCGACCCCAACTTTGGGAAACACTGGTCCCTGTATGTCAAACTTTAAATCAAAGATTTTCATTCAGTTAGCACTTGATGTATGTGCAGGGGATGTTGCACCTTTCCAGTCAAAGTAATTATTTTTCTAAACACTTAAATTGATTTGGCGTTGTGGCCTCGTTCTGATACTCTGGTTGTCTAACGCCTGCTTTCAGTTTAACGATGCCTCATTTCTGTCTAATGCTACCCTTAGTGTGCCACGCCGATCTTCAGGTTTGCAGAGATTTAAAAGACATTTCCCTGGATGAGACAGCTTTTGCTCTAAAACACAATAAAGGCTTAGTAACCAATCAGATTTAAGGTGGGGGCGGGCCTTGGGTCTTGGCTAAGCTGTGATCCAACAGAGCACTTTGAGCATGGGCTGCAATTTATGAAGCTACAAGAAGAAACGTAAAGAATAAATTGCTCCGTGCTTGATCTGTCCCTTTTGAACATTGTTGCCATCCAGTCTGTCAGCTCTCAGAGTCTATGTGGAGGATGACTCTCGGCTACTACCACACCAAATCTAAGCTTAATATTTAAAGCTGCGGAGCTCAATGAATCGGATCCACTTCAAAAGTTCATTAGTTACACGTGCGCATCTAAGGATTACTTCCTCAGCGATTCATTAAAATTTGTTGGTTCACAAGATATTTTGCTGACAAACACACAAAAGAATACAGGCAATCACATGACTGCTTGCTCTTAGTGGCTTATAAAGGAAATCACAAGATAGTGTGAATTTAATATCTACAGTGTTTGCATCTTAAACGTTTCCCCTAAAACAGACCTTACGTACCATTGTCAGGTTAGCAGGGTCAGTGTTTGTGCTGCGTCGTTCTTGTCTCGCCTGTAGTAGTTGGCCACATTTTTCTGACTGCGCAGACGAGTTGTGCTGAGCACACAAATTGTTGTTGTTGTGGTTCAGACCCAGAATGCAGACAGACTGGAAAGATGAAAAACTAAACTATTTAAAATAAAACAAAAAGATGACCTGCAGGATTTTAGATAGGATTTTGGAAGAATGTGCCAACACTTTTAAGCCAGCCAGCCCCCCCGCTGTTTACGGAAATTTACACAGGGAAATAAAAGTTTTGGATCGGGACTGGAGGTTGTGACAACACACAATAAAAGTTACTGAAGATATAAAATCATACCCACCTACTCTACCCATTCCAGCGCAATTTAAACTTGGGCATCTTCATCTAGCTTCATAAAATAATTGGCCAGTTGCCTCATGCCACTTACGAAGTTTACAGAAGTTTACAAAAATGTACGTAGGGAAATAATGGTTATGTATCGGGACTGGAGATCCTGACAGGAACACAAAACAACAGTTACTGAAGCTGTAAAATCAACACTGAGGGTCTTCTAAATCAGTGGTTCCCAAACTTTTTATCTTCTGACCCACAAAATATTCATGGCAAAAACTTGTGACCCCAAATATTACTGGTCTGAGTACACGAACTTCATTAATAACCCTAAAAACACAGGCTTTTTGACAATCTAAACAGCTTGTACACAAATATAAATACTTATTTATACTTATTTTGTGTTTTTGTATAATTATAGGGAAAATATTACATCAGCAATTATTTTATTACACTTTAAATTGATTTCTGGAGATTATCCAAGGTGCTTCATGACCCATAATTGGGTCCCAAGCCCAACTTTGGGAACCAAAGTGCACTGGTTCCKAAACTTTTCAGCTTTTGACCCACAAAATAACAGTAGCAGAGACCTGTYCCRCCAYATATTTTTGGATGATAAACATTTGTATCAGGTCAACAAAACATGGGCATAGTAACAATATTTTTGTACTACATTTATCCATTTTAAATATACTAACCTCACTCCTTTGTAACAACTAAGGCAAAAACGTAATTAATTCAGAAAATCTTTTCAGGACCCCACTTTGATGTTTCGGGACCCCACTTTGGGTCCCGACCCCAACTTTGGGAAACGCTGTTCTAAATCATTACTATGCCCCTCTAACTAAATGCCAGGTGTACTGAGGTGACGGTGGAGAGAAGCTGAAAATGAGGGTGGAATAGGGAATTAGGAAAGTGGATGCACCTATAAGGTGATTGCTGACTTGGAACAGGTGAGAGGGGCAGATTAAATGATGGCACAAATAAATATATACGAGCAAATAAACCCAAATACAGGAGTCAAACAACACACACAAAAAAAACCTAGTAAGACTTCAAATGAAAAGCCTCAGATTAAACACATTCCTCAAACCAGATCTGCAGGTTTTGATTCTGGCTTTGGAAACGTCCCTCGAAGATATGAAGAATCGTACAAGGTTTCAGAATATCCAGACAGAGGCATGCTCCTAATTTACTGAAAACTTTCACTCGACAGATTGTTTATACCATCAACAATCTGTCGAGATGACAATATATGACCCAGTAACTAAACGAAAGTAAAGATTAATCTCAATGCACTGTAGAGTAGAGAACAAAACCAATAAAATGTGCTCTCAGAAACATTCCTGAAGTAATGATTCACATTTGTTCCTTCAGACACGCACCCACTTGAGTTTAGCTGCTGTCGATGTGATTTAATCAAGCTCAGTGCGGCAGGCGATTAAAAAAAATTCCCAAGAACAGTGTAAATAGTGTGCAAAGGATCAGCGGAGGGTCATTGTTCCATTTAAACACACCAACACCATAGTTAACACACAAACACAAAAAAGTTTGAGTAAACAACACTTGAGTCACCTTAGCGTCAACTCTGCGGTAAATGTCACTGAAAAATCACGGTGTGCTTGAAATGTTGCGGGAGTTCAGATACAGTTACAGTAGTTATGAGAAAACCTTCAGCTCTTATCCAAACTGTTGGCTCACATAAGAGGGTCAGATAAGGGGGACAAGGACAAAGACTTGGAAAGACTAATCTTTGGCTGAGACGTCCTTGAACGTACATTAAAGTTGTATGCCAGTTTCTGTATTTTCAGATAGGTTTGGACTTAAAGTGACTGTGACATCACATTTTTATAATTAACATGAATGCATTTTTGGAAAGATAACATAGATAATATATAGCAAGAAAAAATCCCCCCCAGATAAACAATTGTTGAGATATTTGCATGTGAAGTAACAGGAAGTGATGTCAAAGGGGAATGTCTGCATTGCTACAATGGTCACAACACCGACTGTAGAGGTGAATCTGTTGTTTCTTTATAGTATTTTGAGTCACCATCAGAGGGAGACCAAAAAGAGTGAGAGTTCAACTAATATTGTTACAATAAACAAAGACCAGGGAATTCCCTTTTCTTAAAGCGTTCCCCTTTGATGTCACTTCCTGTTTCATTTTGGCTGAACCAAATTCAAAAGACAACATGTCAGTTCTGTGACAAAATGGGTAAAATCCCGTGTAATATGCCAAATTTCTTAAATATAAGCATGGTTTCTTTGACTTTTTGTTTTAGAAGGATATGCATTAGGGGTCTAATTTCACCAGCTTTATCACAATACGATATTATTTCGATTTCTTTGGATGACGATACAATGTTTCTCAATATCATGTAGACTGTCATGATTCGATTTCCGTTCAGTTCACATATCTGTGATTGATATGATAGAATATCATGATATATGATGATTGTATATGTTGATATGGATCGATGATTTCTTTTTTGCCTCAGTGTAATTAAATCATTAATCATTAAATGGATGTGGATCGATGTATTGTTACATGCCTAACATGCATGCCACAGACACTTTAAGGTTTGGAGCAGTTCTCATATCTGAGCCGGTGGGATGGGTTTTCATTAGAAATAGAAGACTTTCCTATGTTGACATCACATGACAGGGCTGAAGATAATAAATAAGTGGAGATGCAGTGAAGGGACTCGGTCATATCACATGTGGTGAGAGGGGACACGAGACACCAGTCCAGTCCAGCTGCACTCCTCCGAGCAGTTTGCGCTCAGGGCAGCAAGCTGTGAGGACCGCTCATTCCTGACAGTAGAGGGGGGACGCTTTTGGACAGTTAAAATGCCACACAACAATACACTGAATGGAAACCGTGCAAATTCTGAACCCGCTGTAAAAGGTTGGTCACGGTCCACAGCCGAGAAGAATCTCTCTTCGAGACTGATGTCATTGGCGTGGAGTCTGGGGCCTCTCTCCGTCGGCCCTCCGTTGGACATCGAGGCTTTGTGTGATCCAGCAGAGGCTGAAACCAAACTTTACCGTCGCCGCTGGTTCATGCTGTTCCTCTTCAGCACTGTGTCGGCCAGCAACGCTTTCATGTGGCTCCAGTACGGCGTCATAAGTAACATATTCATGCGCTTCTACGGCATCGACCCTCTGGCTATCGACTGGTTGTCTTTGATCTACCTGCTCACATACATCCCACTTATTCTGCCCGTCCTCTGGCTCCTGGACAACAGGGGAATCCGGGACGTGGTGCTCGTTGGGTCGGCCTTTAACTGCATCGGGGCTTGGATGAAAACTGGCAGTGCCCGTCCGAATTTGTTCCCCGTCACCTTTGTTGGCCAGTTCGTGTGCTCAGTCGCCACAGTGTTTGTTCTTGGTATTCCTTCTTATCTTGCCTCGGTTTGGTTTGGAGAGCAAGAGGTCTCCACTGCCTGTTCCATCGCAGTTATGGGAAATCAGGTTTGTCTTAAACAATCAAATGAATTAGAAATTAATATCCTGTGTTGTGACATCTTACACATAAGCTGTACATAAAACACGATGGAATGCCAGAGTCACAATTGTAGTCGAATACGAACAATCTTCTCTCTTTTTTTTTCCATACAGCTAGGTGTTGCCATCGGGTTCCTCGTGCCTCCAATTCTGGTTCCTAATGTGGACGACTTGGATGAGCTGGCTCATCACATCAGCATTATGTTCTATATAACGGCAGGAGTGGCAACATTTCTTTTCATCCTCGTCATCTTTGGTAAGATAAAAAAAAAGCACATCGTAACAAAAATAGGATTTCTCAACTTGTGCCTCATTGTGTGGTTCTGATTTGATGTTTTATCTTTGAACCATTTCTTTAAAAACTCTGGTAAGAGGTAATTTTGATGGTGTCCCTCAAGGACTTTTCCTAGAGCCTTTTTTTAATCAAAAAGTCCATTATTAGGTATCCAAAAAAGAATTTTGTTGATGTTTAGACCTCATTTAGACTAACAATATAACTGAAATACCTTTATTTTGATTAAATTCTTGAAAAATATTGAATACATTGCTTAGTACATCCAGTTAAAGCTCTCTGTTGCCTCATCAGCAACATGTCAGTTTGATACTTTTCTGCGTCAATCCATTAGTTTCAACTTTCTCATCCATCCCGTTCCATTTTACTCTCCTCATTCTTCTGTCGGCTGACAGGCTGCTTCGTAAAATACGGAGAAACAATCCTCCCTCTGTTCACCTCCGCCATGTCGGAGTGAAATCAGAAAGCTCAAGGGAAGATAACCAAAACCTCAGCAGATAAAACCGTAACTCTTCATGGCCACTCTCTGTCAAGTGTTTTTGCAAGTCAGTTTTCTGAAATCATGTAAATTTGAATTTGAATAAATGTCATTTTACTGCACAGTTTACACAAGAGTAGTTTATTTTGAATGGATGTAGGAAAGGCGATCAATGAAGCAGTGAAGTGAGATTTTTGTTTCTCGGTGCTCAGAGTTTGAGGTGTGTGTGTTTTCTTGTCCAGGCAAATGGGACATCTTCATTCAGTGAAGCTATTAAGTGCTGGTTTTCATTCACGCACTTTACCTCTGACAATCTAGAGGTCCACACCAGGGAGATTCACAAATAAACTAGTACTCTAATATTAGTTCAGTCAGGGAGAAATGTCTAAATCTTCTGTAATATGTTGTCATATTGGTATTAAATGCATCAGTAATGAAAAAACTAAGACCACACAAAAAGAATCAGCTTTTTGTTTTTTAAGTACGTTGAAGGGTTTCTGATGACACACACTAAAAGAGTGGAGGGAACTCAGTATTGCTGCAGATCATGCAGTTTTTTTTACTTCCTCATGCCTCAAATTTGATATTTTGACCCAGATTTAAAGCACTTCATATAAAACAGATTTTATTTTGTAAATTATTATAAAGACTTAAAGACTAGATTTTTTTGATTTACGATTTATTTAAAAATGGTAAATTAACAAAATAAAGATCCCAGCAAACAGTCAAACAAATATTCCATGATAATGCTGCTGTGTCTTGTGGGCAGAGGGAAGGGTGGTGGTGGGTGGCTTCGTCAGCATTCCTCTGCACAAAAGGATGCCTGTGATGGCATCCATCTAGTACCATGCACAACATTTAGGCTGACTATACTGTTAATGCTGGTTAGTGTTGTGTCTTAGTGTCTTGTTATGAATTCAGTTGCACAAAAATGCAAACTTCAGCTCATTGTTTACTCGTGGGACTGTAGTGTCATGTGTTTTCTACTCTGAATGGCTTCAATTATAGGTTTGAGTTTGGTAGTTTCAGACCTCTTCTAGTGACAGTGAAATATATATA